ACACACATACACACATACAGGACAGTCTTCCCCATACACACACACACACACACACACACACACACACACACACACGACAGATTGGTAGCGGCCATCATATTTTTCTGTCTTTTACATCGCATCTAACAATGAAAATACAGTGCTTAAAAATGAACAAGATATTTCAAATCTATATCCAATAGTTTGACCTTTCATGGAATGAGCCCTCATCCTCATGATTCTCCTGTTTGCTCTTAGATTCTTATTCTGGATCTTGTAGTGTTGGTGGCCTTTCCAATGGTGTCTTCAATTAGAATATTCTACAATCTCCAGCTCCTTTTGATGAGCACTGATGTTATCAGTTTCTTGCCTCTTCTGAGCCTAAGTACCTCAAGTTTTGGTTTTACTACCCACTGTCTCTCAATCTCATTGGATTCATATTGCACTTTGAATACTTTTATCTTTTTCTTCCACACTCAGTGCCCATCCCTAGCTCTGAATGATTACAGATTTATTTGTAATACATTAAATCCTTTCCCAACATTAATGCCCTTACTCCAACAAAATGTGACATTTACAACCCTTTCTTTAGGAGGGGGCAGAGCCTTCACAATTGGCTTCCACAAAAGATGTTTTGGCCAAATTGCTGCAATTTGAAGTAAAGCTGTCACTTAAGAAGAAAGGCCATACTATGTACATTTCTTGGTCGGTGTCATAGTTCTGGGGGAAGATGTAAACATTTTGTGAAGTTTTAGAAGATTAAACAGAGGATCAAGTGCGTTACTGAAAAGGGTTCCTAGTTACAGGTAGAAGAATATGCAATACCTAGCAGGGGGTGCTGCTTCTATGCATCAAATGCTGCTATATTCAAGAATAACGGCTGAGGACACAGAGATAGCAATGTCCCCACTGATGATGGTCCCACCCTCATTAAACTGAGCACTTTGCCTTCATCAAGGCTACAGCTCCTAGAAAAGGTCTCCTCTTAAGTCCTCAATCACACCAGGCAACACCAGGCCACTGTGGGCTCCCAGCCAAAGAGTTCCACACTGTTCTGAACAATGGCAAACATCGGAAGACTTTTCTCTCCTGGGCAAACTAAGATTATTTATATGTGAACACTCAAAGCACTTTCCCCCCAAGATGACAGACTTTCCTGTTAGGCGAGAAAGAACATTGGGATGCAAGATTCTATTTATGTTAAGGGAAAAGCATGTCCAGACAGATTCAAGAAAATAATGTTTGATGGTTTAAAAAAGGTACGGATAAAGGAAGTAAAGGACTGAAAGAGAAAGAAAAGGATAAAACGTTTTCTCTTCCTAGAAATAGATCTGGATTTAAAAGATGAGAAGACTACTTACGACAGATCAGCACTCCTTTTATGAGTCCATATAATGAGAAAAGACAAGACAAAGGGGGAGATCTTCAAATTTAAGATTCGAGAACCAAAACATCACATTTTTTGGTTAAAAAACACGCACGACGCTTACTGCATAGATCAAGAGATGAAACGGTGTGCTCACCTCTGTGACATCTCACAAAGCAGTAGGTATGAAGAAGGTTTGATCAGAGGTGGGGTACCAGCATCTTGAGTAGTATCAGTGATGCTGTTTCTATTGTTGTAGACCAAGTTACTTTAGTATTTCTAGCTCAACAATTGCTCTCCTGGATTCTTTAGACAAAAGCGGTGTCCTTTCTTCTTGGCTTAATTGTAACTAGATCAAGACTCCTGCCTACACACCCAGTTTATTCTCTCAAAGTTTTGAGATGTTCTACAAATATTCATACTGACCACAAATAGACTGCTTTGTCCAACTTACTAGCAGGCTGTGGCTGAATCTAGCCAGTGGGACGGAGCAAGATCTTACGCTTTCAGACCATCCCATAGAACCTTCTCAATCTTTCTGCACTAATGGTGCCAAGAGAAAGGACTCCAAAGATTTGGAGAGGGACCAATCCACAGGAGGGACGCTTCAGTCCCATGGAGGCAAACTGGTTATAGAACATCATGTGTGCAGATTTCATAATTTAGACAGACACCAACCTATTCTGTTAGACCACTGACATGTTGGGGTTCTTGTTACTTCTTTTAGACTGCCCTGGTTGGATATGTAATTTGTGAAGAATTGCTTTTCTTTGGACTTGACTGCATCGCTGCTTGCCCAAGCTTGGGCAAACTACCATGCTTCTCTGTCCTTTAACTTTTTATGTAAGGGATGGCAACATTATATGCCTCACAAAATAGTAGGGGAGGAGCTCAAATGCACAGCCTTTAACCCAGCTGCGAGCATAAGTTATTGTTATTGCTTCTCAAAGTAGACCCTTACTTCGAGATATCACCTACACGTGATTGGTCACTCACGAAATTGATCAAGCACAGTCAGCTGACTTGTAAAAGGAGAAATTAAACATGATATTCAGTGGCACATATGTAAAGTTTGAAGAATGAAAATGGGGGATAATGAGAGATAGGAGGAATAAAAGGTAGGGGTGCAGAGGGCAGAAGGCACTCTCCAGTGTAAGCAGTTAGTGCACTGGATTGACTGTTAATACACCTGGCAGAGCAAGAAAGAAGCTGTAGCTTAGCATTCCGTGGTGTGGTCACGCATCCCGTGGCGTGGTCACACATTCCGTGGCGTGGTCACGCATTCCGTGGCGTGGTCACACATTCCGTGGCGTAGTCACGCATTCCGTGGCGTGGTCACACATTCCGTGGTGTGGTCACGCATCCCGTGGCGTGGTCACACATTCCGACTGCCAGTTGTGCACTGGCTGAAGGAACACAAAAGGTATTAAGAGTCATACCTCTGCATGATGGCAAGTGTTTCCAGAGAGCTGTCCTTAGGAGGAAGATCCACCCTGAACGTGGTAGCATCATTCCACGGGCTGAGGAGAAGAAAGCCAGCTGTGCCTGAGTGCCTCTTCTCTATTTCCCGTCAGCATCATGGACCAAGTCACTCTTGCTGCCAGGATAGACTGTACTCCTCTGTGAGCCCCCAAGCCCCAGAAATTCCACAGCCTGGCAAAGCCTTCTCTTGTGATGTGTGCTACTGCACCCTGGATGTCCTTCTGCGTTAGACATAGAGCATATTGAAAACCTCAGCCACTGTTTCTGTTAGCTTTGTTAACCTATACCCATTTCTCCTGTCATAAAAAAAAAAAAAAAAACTAAAACCTGGTAATTGTTCTTTGCCAAACTGTAAACTTCATCCTAAGATGTCTATGAAAAAGCATTATAACTCCAGGAAACAAAGTCCCTTACCAGCACACCTCTGCGCATCTGGTCCCCTCTGTTGATAAGTGATTACAGGTCTCAAAGGGGCATGAGCGTCTGCAGCAAAGACCGTGTGACCCTCGTGGACACATGAGTGAAGCATCAGTGTACCCCGTGTAATAGAACTGCTATGTATTCAGCACCAGGGACGGTGATGCTCAACACAAGGAATGAGCACTCTGCAGCAGGCCGGGTAGCAAGGGTCTATCAATGCTCTGGTTTCGATCCCTTTCAAGTTCCTTAGAAGAAACTGCTCAATATGTCAGCAAATACAAGGATGTGGCATTTGGCTATTTATTCATGGAACGGTCTTCACCTTCACAGAGACAGGCTTCTGCTTTTCCGCCGTCTCTAAAGCACGAAGAGGCCTCTTTGTAGAGAAAGAGGCACTTTCCCACCTCAAAAACAATTTTGTGCCTATTCTGAAAAGCAAAGAAAAAAAGTAAAGGTTTTAAAAACAACAGAATGAGGTTTTCTGTGCTGTTACAATGCCCAAGGACAGCTCTGTCTCAATGCCTTTGCAATTTACATGCAATTTTATTCTGGTAGTGTCTCTATGGTCAGCAAAAGCAACAACAAAACAGAACACTACTTCCAAGCCACGGGAACCATTTAAATAGAGTCTGATGCATAATTTCAAAATTCTCCCCGTGTAACAGTACCATATAAGTGGACTCTTAAATTGTGCATATTGATTGGATCCTGTGGCACATTGGGCGTTTATATACATTGCAGAGGGATACGTGGCCTCAATCACATACCAACCCACACAGTTGAACTGGTGTGAGGATGAGGACAATTCCACCCTGAGTCTAAGCTATGAGCAATGCTCCAGGTTAGCAAGCAGTCTCCATCACCGGGCAGCTCCTCTGATACGAAGGCTTGGTCCTCCTCAGTGACAAAACAGGAAGAAACGCACTTCTGTGTTCTCTATATGAGTCTTGGCATCTCATGACAATAGAATGCTTTGGTCTTAGCAACACGGGTGTATGGGACAGCACATGGGCCAGCACTGAGGGTCTGCCCTCAGTTGTTCAAAACAACTGTGCAGCTCAGGGTGGGGATACCCCTGTTCCCTGGTAGAATCCTTTCGAGTGGAGCCTTTGTTTCCTTGGGTAGATTCTTTTGCTAAAACACATATGCATTTCTGCCAGTAATGATTCTGTGTTTTAAAGAGCCCAGTGGAAAGCGTTTTGGGGAAAGAGACAGGTGATGAGATTCGGGGTGTCAGGACTGTCAGCAGACTGCTTTACAGTCAAGGTTGAGCTGCCTTTACTTCCGTAAATCTGGTTCCTTGACTGCAGGCTAACAGGGCAGGACTGGCAGCTTTTTCAGGCACTTCCTTTCATCTAGAAATCATGCAAACCCAGCACTGCCTCCTGCCTGTGTGAACAGGAGAACCACGGTTCATGTTAGCCTGAATGGAGTCTACTGCAGGGTTCTTCCGTGTGACTTGGCGAGCTTTGGATGGGAGAGTCTGCTGATACAAATTGCTGTACTTATGGGTTTACTTGGTGACAGCTGTACACCTGATTGTGTTTGTTCTAGATGGGTTGTTCCTCTGGCCAGCCATCGGGAATGGCATTATATATTCCTAGCAATCAGTACATTTACTTTGGATGTGAGGGTTTTTTTTTTTAAATCTTATCAGGATTCAAAATGTAACCCAAAGAATTTCAACTCAAGTCAGAAATAGGATCTTCTGTGAGTCACACATAGGCAAAGAATATAGAATCTCATGTATGCTTTCACATATAATTTTAAGTATTTATGTATGCATATACATGTTCACATATTACATGCACAGATGGACTCCATGATCATATATACAAACATACCCTCAAATTCCCCATTGCTTTCTCTTGGATAGTTTTGTCACGAATACAAAATCATTTTTTATCATAAAAATGTACATCAATATGACTTATAGATAGGCTAACTTCAAGGGGATGTTAAAACCCTTTAACTTTCCCCTTGGTTCTTCAAGATATCCAAAGGATTAGAGATAATATGTCTTATGACTGAATGTTCCAAAGTCTCGCTCTCTGCACTGTCCACTTGTAGGACTCTGTTAATTCCCATCCACTGCAGGAAGAAGCTTACCTTGTGACGGCTGAATGAGGTAATGATCTACAGATACAGTAATATGTCACTAGAACTCATGCTACTGATAGGCTTGTTTGTTTATGCATATGCATGTATGTGTGCATGTATCTCATGTATGTGGGTACCCACAGAGGCCGGAAGAGGTCACTGCATCACCTGAAACTGGAGTTGGAGGTAGTTGTGACTGCCTGAGTGCATGCAGGGAACTGCTGGGAACCAAACTGGCTCTTCTGGAAGAGCAGCCAGTGCTTCGATGTGTCAGCTCAGCTCTCCAGGCCTGGCCTGTGGTTTTGAATGGCAGACATGTATGCTGATTGCAGAAGTCTACGGTCATTTTCTGTCGTCCATTTGCCTAGCACATTAGATGATGCCAAAACATCTTTCTTTTCACAATTATCAACTGATACATAGGATAGCTGTGCACCAGTGCTGAGTGAGCTCATTTAGCTTCCCCTTGCGTGGATGGGGATAGTCTCTCAGTGGACAGGAACCTGTGGGGATGACTGGAACTGTGTGTGACAGAGTCTCCCTGAATGACCCTTTGCCTCTCTTAGCAAGTCCAAGAAGCAAAACTTCTTCACACGGGAGAAATGAGAGTTTGCATTTCTACCAGAACGAAGGCTGGAAGAAAGGAACAGGAAATGGAAGCAGAGAAAATTATTATTACAGAGAAAAACAGATCCTGAGTCAGTCAAAGCCCTGACTGATCGCAAAGGAACTCAACTGGGTCACCATAAAATGCTTTTTGTTTCCTCAAGAGACAAAACAAGAAGAGAGAAAGAGGGAGGAGGAGAAGTGGGGGAGGAGAAGAGAGAATGAGGATAGAAGGGGAGAGGGGATCATGTCCCACTTTACCATCCCATAGCTGGCTGTCATTAGATAGAGCCTGCCTTTTCCACACACAATGTGAGGGAGGATGTGGCCAAAGTCCACTTGAGAAAAAGCTATAGGAAGGAGGAGTGCGAGTTCTTGAGTTTCTCATCAGTGAGCACCCAAAACAGAGTTGGCCTCCACTAGTAGACGGCGACATGGATCAGCTACGCCACTCCTGGAAGCATTCTGATTAACCGAGGGTTTGTTTTACGTGAAGGTAGAACTTTTGTATCGTGACAGAGAGAAAATCAACAGCTTCCATTAGAATTTTACCAGGGCATTATTTATTTTCCTGTAAGTGGGCATTTCAATCCACTCTAAAAAACTAACATTCACAGAACTGCAAAAACTCACATAAACAAACAACAAAAGAAGAACCAGTCTCTCTCCAGCAGTGAAGGTGGGGCCGGGGAACACTTACAGGTGTGGGTGTGGAGTATCAAACGGGCAGAGGAGGACAGGAGCTTAGTGACTGAGTACGACCCTTATTCCTAGGAAAGATCTGCCACAATTCAGCAGATGAGGTGGATTCGGATTTCCAGCTTCAAATACATCAAGTTCAGCCAGGCTTTTGGCTTGTGAATCATTGCGCCAAGATATTCATGGATGCTTAGTAGAGTCTGAGAAAGTCAACCTCTGATACTTAAGGAGCACCGAGTGTACAGAGAGTGAAGTTGTGTCAGGCCTGGGATGGGAAACCGCTTTTCTGCTTCTGCTGTTCCTGAGCCCCCATTTTTACTCACCACCTGAACAAAGCCACTGACAAAAAGAAATCAAAACTATCTAAGCTTATAGGGCTACTGATCTAGGACACAACCATCCTTGTGGTCCTTTCTCTTAACCTTGGTACGCTATGCTATATTTGGTAGAGAACTCAATCATTTACAGAAATACTATTCTATATAGATATTCTACAGTAGAGCAACCTGGGACGCACGGACCCAGCTGACACAGTGTGGATCAGCTGCTGGAGATGGCAGAATGTGCAGGCCTCAGCCCGGCGAGGTGGTCACGGGTGTCACATGTCAGAACATATGTGACGGGACTGCAATTGACAAAGCACTCTGGGAATTAGGTTCATCACCATTTTACTGTCATAGCAGAACACCTGATACACGGGTGGGGGGGTACGATCAGCCTCATAAAGGCAAGAGCTCCGGTTGGATTTAATGATATGAAAGAACCTTTCATGTCTAACATTTGGCACTTGGCATTGATAATGTATATGAAGAGACACGCCTTGGGATTATAAAATAGAAATTTGAATTTAAAAATATATATTATGAATATGGTAGGATACAAATTAATGCAAAAATATGGTCTGCTCTCCCTGTCTCACGATGTCACGAAGCGCATCGTTTTTTGCAGAATTGGGTGTGGAAGCAGAGCGAGGAAACCCTTTGGTTACGTTTCAGAGATGTTTTCACAGTATGTGTTTCTACAGTGCTGCCGCTGGACAGCTAGCACGTTAATATTTAGTACTCGAGCAAAAAATAAACATTAATGTAGGTAATCGGTCTAATATGTTTAGTCACGCTGTTCTGAGTAGGAAGAGCATAGCCGACGGAGTGAAAGTTTGTCAATGCCTGCTACTTGATACCTTCTGAGTCAAGTGTCTGAGATAGTCTGGTAATCCCGAGGGGCAGGAATTACGCAACACCTTCATTACTACATTTAATCAGGTAGGTGGCCTGAGGCTTTAGCTGTGAGACGTATGGAAGGAAGACGGCAGCAAAGAGAGATGCCTGCCCTCTCTCAGGCTAACTGTGGCAAGATATCTATACCCTGATGGAATTACTTGGGACAGTGTTTGGTAGTCAGCCATTTTTCCAAGATGGTGGAGCTGCCCACACACTGAGTGACCTTGCTTGAGAAGGCCACATCCGTCTCCTTCCAGACGCCTCTGTCAGGAATTCTGAGCGGCTAGCTTGAAAGACGATCTTCCTGTTTTTCTGTAGTCACAGCTGCCATGTCATTGGCCTTCGATAGGTAAGTCATAAAGTGCAGTACGTAGGGCTGAACCACCAGAGAGAAGAGAATGAACGGGAGCCCCTCCCACAGAACGCCGAGTCCAGATTGCTAGCAGAGAGTGGTCAGGACCAACCTTGCCCGCGCTGTCATCTTCAGAGCTGCAGTGCCGCGATCAGGGGAGACAACATCAGGACATGGTCCAGTTTGGGTGTGTGAAGATTATTCTGTGCTTCTCGGCCCACTTGGCAAACACTCTCTTCTCGGTGATGAAGCGGTGTCCCCCGTGGGGGGCGTGTTCGTGGAGAAGATACTCGTTACACTCGTCTTTCCCTTGCTCGTAGTAATGGTAGGGGACTTTCCTATACCCTTCTGTCCTGGAAAAGAAACAAGACAGGAGAGGGAAGGGCGCCAAGGGTGAGGCAGGCATTTACAAGAATCCATGGCGTGCTCAGTAAATGCATCTACTTATAAGCCCTCCTCCACGGACCCAGTTAAAAGCTATTGCAGACGAAAGCTTTTAGGAAGAAGGACCAGTTCTTAGTGCCCTAATAGATCAAATACAATCTACACATCACACTAATTGCATTCAGACACACGGCCTGCACTCCGAGGAGGGGAAGGGATGAGATGAAACAAACCTTACACAGCCCAATGCTCTGAACCTCCCAGTGAAGTTTGGGGTTCCTCTGTGTTTTTTAGACATAGCTGTTAGAGTGCAGATGTCTAATCATGAAGACTGACCCAGGGTTACATGTTAACAGTATGATTAAATGCGCTCTGCCTCTTATCATGCGAATGGTCGATAGAGGAACCATATTCCACCACCATGAGGAAGCACATGTTTGGCAATCTCATTTAGACGCGATCCTGCCAGCACCCGCACACTCACTTAAACTAAGAGTCTGGCAGATTAGTCACACATTAGTGAAATGAAATCCTCAGGAACTCTTGTCGAGCTGAACGTTCCTCTGAGGCATCAGGGCATTTTCTCCTCTGAGCAAACAGAGCCGTTGGCTGACAGCTGTCCGTCAAGCCTTCAGAGGGACGAGCCGTGGAAACCTTGATCTCACAAATTACCACTGAACTCGTTGTAGATTTTCAAGCCCTGAGTCCCAGAAATGCGACTGATTAAGGGAAAGTGTCCCTTCTGACGTGCGACATTAGACTGCCGTAGGTATTGTTTTCTTTCTATCACTCTTGAAAGTCAGAACATGACGCGCTGACAAGAACATGGCATGTTGGCAAAGAGCGCCCGGAAGTAATCGTCATCTGATCTGTTTCTCAGATTTATGGCATTAGAATGAATTGTGATATTTTGACAAGGTATCAGAATTGGAGTTGCACGGAAATAATTTCCCATGGTCTTACTTGCAATAGGTGTCATTTATCATCCCGTAGACGTGGATACTGTAACAGGCGTCCATGGCCAGGATAAAGGTAAACCAGCCCGTGCTGAGATAGGAGCCGGACTGGACCCTGGAGGAGCAGAAACAGCAGACGTGAAATGCAGGGCAACGAGGAAGTGCAGTAAGAAACAAGCCACACCTTGTCAAAAAGGCAGCAGCCGGTATCGGGGGAGCACTGAGAAACCTGACAATCTGTCAAGGATACACACTTATTTTGAGTTATCTCTGAGTAATTTATGGGCACCCTTAACTCTTTCTACCTTAAGCCTCAAAGCTGCGCTGGGTGGAAGAGAAGCCATATGGCAAATATCCAAGTCGAATAATGCTGTTGCCTTCAGGTAAAAAATAATTTGTCTTTCCGTAAGACACAAATTAGGGGTGTATATCAGAGGATGGGTTTGCTGTAGGTTGCTTGAAGCGCTGATGAGCACTGAATGACAATGGTGTCTTGTTTACCTGGGCGCAGCACTTTCTCATCTCCTTAGCTCCTATTACTTATTTTAAGGTTGTGTTTGTGTGGGTGTGAGTACAGATGGGGATGTGGGTGTATGAGCATGTGAATGTGTGCTGATCTCCAACCTCGGCTTCTACATGTAGACACAGTGTAGGTCAACCTGGACTATGAAAGCAGCCAAATGTTTTCTTTCCTAAGCAGACTCGCAGGCATCAGGAGCCAAGCTTCTTCCTAAGACCTGGCTCTGGCCTCTTGGACCCAGTTTACGGGACACCTTTAATGCACCAATTACTCTTATACATGCTATAAATACAGAAGTCATGCCCAGTGTTTCCATCTTAACACTGACTGGAAGATTAGATTTACATCCCAGTTACTCTATAAAGTTTCTCGGGGATTGCTTCTGTGATAAGGGTAACGTGACTCGGGGCTGGGAAAAGAAGTTTGAGGGTGGTGAGAAAGGACGAGGCTGTGCGAACTATAGAAGGGAAAATACTTTAGGAAGACCAAACAGCACAGGTATACCCCAAACATGGAAGTGAGCCAAGCCTGGTTTGTTCTGGGAGGGCTGTGGATGATTTAATCAGAGACAGCGCTCACTGCAGGGGTCTGCCAAAGGCAAATGGTTCAGGATGGATCTCTGTTCCTGTCCTCAGCCAAGCTCAGCTAATTCTCATTCCAAAGGCTCCATTGTCTCCCTCCTGACATCTCTTCCTGCAGAGGCAAGTGGATTGCCCCAAGTTATCTGGCGGCTGTGCGGCAGCACTTTCCTCTGGACGCAGGACTGGCGGGAACACACACCCATCCACACTCTAGGTGCAGCCTCCAGCCAGAGGCCAGTGTCTGTCGATGCCCAGAACCCAGGACTGTGGATCTAAGTCCTTAGCACGATGCCACTCATGGGTCTGAATTAGAACCCCTCCTCCTTCCAGACTCCTGCCAATCCAGAACTATCCAACATTTCAGGAATTACATGAACTCACAGTGTCTGCTATTCCTGGTGCACATTTTCCACGTGGAGACTAGAGTTGGTCCTCTGTGTCTGTGGGAGATTGGAACCTGGATCCCCCTACCTATCCAAATGCTCTGGTGCTCAGACTCTGGTCTCCTCTAGGTTAATTATAACTAATATAGTCACTATGTCGTTGGAATACTGTATTATTTAGGAAAAATGAAAAGGAATCAGTCCGCTAATGGCTTGTACCGATATAATTCCACACACATAGTGGAAAGAGTATTAGGATCTACAGTTGATAAAACCCAGAAATCCAGAACCTGTGGACACTGAGGGTCATGTGTTCCAGAAACTAAACCATACTGAGTTGTCTACTTTTCTGTGGGATAAATTAGCAGTGATATAGAAGTATGGGCTGTGTGCTCCATGAGTGGGAAGGGGTAGCACGGAAGACAAATTACAGAACAACATTCTTAATATATGGTTTAGCCAGAGAGTATTTATTCTACGGTCTCAGGAGCATCAAGGAAGCATTTTGTTTATTTGAAATCAGGATCAGAAGATGTGAGTGTTATAACCTAAATGTTTCCAAAATATTTTATTTGGACATTCTGGAGGTGTATTGAATTTGCATGACTATTGTTCTTACTGGATTATATTCTTGCTTTTTATCTTGATTCTTTAAATTTTTTAAGCCTATTTTATATCCTTTCTATACTTCTTCAGAAGACGCTCAAGCAGACACAGAGATTACTAAAATCACAGCACTTGTTACAATGGGCTGCATTTGTTTTCATTTTGTGGAGGGGAAAGATCTTACTGTCGGTGTTGATCGGTTATGATCTGATAAGTGGAGGGACTCACATTAACACAATTGGTCACCATCCAATACAACACACCCAAAGCCTGAGTGTTAAAGTCAGAACACAGTGGGGTGTAGGCTGACATAAAAACATACCTGGTCCCACAATGCACCGTGACTTCTGACTGAAACAGGGCGCTAGAGACAGTTCGCACAGTCTCTTTGAGTCAGGGTTCTTGTTTCTAAGTGAGGGGACTGAACTCGCTCATATCTCATATCGCCAATCTTAAAATCCAGTGATTCTGGGTTGCCAGAGAGTATGTTATCTTCCAGCCCCAACCAGTGAGCTCTGCACCATGTTGCAAGTGTGTTGACGGCGCAGTCAGCGAGCACGTGAATCACATGACCAGCTGGGCTCACTGGCACCATGGACACGAGAGCAATGTCTGTGGTGTACGTGGACAGAGGGAAGAAAACAAAAACGTTTTACTTCATGGTGAGACTGGAGACCATGACCAAGGCTGTTTTAGAAGAGGTGCTCTTTGTCTCTGTCTTCACAAAACCTGCTCATAGAAGATGCAAGAAAGACTTTCGTGGAACCAGTGTGAGAAAGCATTAATTTCTATGAGAATAAATATTAATTGAAGCAGTCTGTCATTCTTTATATGAGAACCTTCCACTGTATCTCAGGATAAATGGGGAACCCAGATGCCAGCCTAGCTCAGGATAAATGGAGGTCCTCTGTGCAGTATCTGAAACTTGGCAATGCATGGAAGCTGTCCTGCCCTCTTCTGGCCCAACCCAGTAATTTCTGAAATCTTGATAATAAGCATTCAAATGTGAGCCCTGGAGGAGATGCAGGACACAGGCCTCCTGGTATGGCTATTATCTGTACTCCATGGAACGGGGGTCAGGAGTTTTAAACTTTGGCAATTAGCCAAAGATCTTTCCACTTTACCAAATAATAAAGACTTAGAAAAACCCACATTTATGACATTCCGTTCCTTCTAGGCCTGGCCTGATTTGTTTCCAGATAGACAACCCACACTAATTAGCCCCGAAGCTTTTCCCAACATTATGTGTTGTGTTTGATTTACATGGGAGAGAGTCCCACCGCCCCTGTGCCCTGTCCTAAAAACTGGGCTTAATTAGACAGTTACATTATTTTCCCTTAACATCTCTGGTAGTTTGAGACTTGAAATGTCATGCCGTTTCCTACCTATAGTACATGCTAGGGTTTTCACGGGGCCTTCTTCTCAAATACTCTGAGTTAATGTTCCTCTAGGATGATCAACCCGGGGACACCTCGAAAACAAGAGCCTGGAAGAATCTGAGGCCTTGGAACAGTGGCTCTCAACCTTCAATACAGCTCCTCATATCGTAACCCCCAAATTATTCCATTGTTACTTTATAATTAATGTAAATATCTGATATGCAGAATATCTGCTATGGGGGTTGCGACCCACAGGTTGAGCATCACTGCCTTGGAGGAACTCACTAGTCTTTGTGGGGGCTAGCTCTGGTCATTCACATAGGGGTGCTGCTTCCAGGCCCCTGTGCTGATGCTTGCTGTATGAGTGTAAATTGTACCTGTGTAGACCTTTTAAGGTTCAATAATGACAACTACAAGAAAGACTGTACTGGTCTATGAGGACTTGTTCACACGACTCAGTGCGCAGACATCTGGGATAGGCATCAATTGCCTTACAAATTCTTAAGTCTCTTCTGGGACACATATGATGTTGTAACCTGTCACTCACGCACACAGCACTATGGACCAGCTGGCCTTCAGCCATAGCAGTGGATGCAGCTCCCATATTTGGGGATCGATAAAAACAATTATCACCATCTACAAATAAACCATCATGTTTCCCACAGGGATGATAAGGGAACTGGAGTCCCTGGTTCAGTGCAATTGCAAAGCTGGAATTAATGCTGTGGAATAATGAGCCATGCAGGAGGAAAGAAAGGCAGGGCTCTTCCCAGGAAGCTATCAATCACTTGTTTCCACCGGCCAGATTCTGCATCCCTCTGCCCCTTAGTAATCAAGATACTTAAACCTGGAAACCACTGAATGGACTCGCTCATCACTTAGAAAAATGATACTGTCAACACACAGATCTAGCGCATGCTTGAAGGCATATCACTTGAAGTATCTCTCCTCGAGTTTATCACTGATGAATATATGAGCCTCTTTACCCGTCCATGTTCCCCTGTTACTTGTTGTCTAGAGGTCACGGCATAAAGACACCAACTTGTTGTCTGTCAAGCTATTATTTACTTATTTTCACTAATTTCAATATTTTTGACCACAGCATCTTTCCTTGTCTGCTGCTCTGGTTTCTCTTTTCACTTTTGGAAACACACTGCGATGCTCTTTTCTCTACTCTTTTCTTCTAGATATGACCAAGGGGGAGGAACTGAGAACTCCAACATGGCAACTCTTCAACAGAAAATTGAGTAATGTTGAATGTATTTATTCACACCTGGCTTCCCGGTCATCCAACACCACTGCTTCAGTGACTTAGGGTTTGGATCGGAGACATTTATGTTTTGGTGGGCCAAATAACTTTCTCTGGGCCAGCCTTGGTGCTGTCGGCATTGCGGATGCCAGAGTTCTTGGTGTGGCAGTGGGCTGAGCAGCTCTGTGCTGTTTCACACCCCTTTGACACAGGCTTCCTGAGGAAAACAGCAGATGATAATCTCTAACTCTAAAACACTAGGTTCTCCTCAGTAAGCATTTCCAATCTGCTTGACTCCTGTCCCTCTGCCACCTTTTCGATCCCGGTCAAGCATCCTACTTTGTCCCCTTTCTTCACGAGGCTATCTGAAGCCATTGGCGTTCAGTTTGAGCTTTGA